ATTCCTCGACAAGTCCGCTTGAAGATCTGTTTTAATTTAATTAATAAAAATTTCCTTAACCCAAGCGTTTTTACTACAACGTTGCGCGTAAAGTAAAAAAATCACATCCGAATTCACATTATTTACGTTTTTTTTATTATAAAAATACAAAAATACAAAATGGGACAGTGCGACCATACATTCAACCATCGCCCGCCATACTAATTTCAACTAGGGGGGTAGGGAGTACTAAACAATTTTACAAAAAAATCATTGAGCAATTTCATGAAAAAGAACCACCAAAAACATCGAACGAGTGTACGAAAATCACAAAGAAAAACATAAAAATAAATTTTTAGTAAAGTCTAAACTCAACGCACCGACGCAGAATCAAAACGATACAAACAAAAATTTCTTTTTCAAAAGTGTTGCCACAAAATCGTTGAAAAACTACCAAATTTGAAAATGCAGTAGAAAACGAAAATCAGTCGATAAAAATGAATTAATGATACAAAGTGCGCGAGTGAAAATGGTTCCTATATAAGGTGTTCGGGGCGATCAAGGCGTGTCTTTAAATATTTTTCTAGGAAACTTCTATTTTTATTTAGAGAAATTGTATTCGCATTCGCTATTATACTGAAACTATCAATTTACTAATAGATCCGAAGTCCACCTAGAAATAGATCGAGGAGCCAGTTATATTGATTTGAATATTTGCAAGTAAGATCACAGAGCGATATAACAATAGTATTAACAAACTGGTTCCCTCTCATTTCTAGGCCAGACTCGGACGGAATAAGAGATTTGCACACGGTCGCGTATGACTTATAAATTCTGTCCGCGTCATGAAACTTTTTATATCGAAATACTATACATAGATATCTAAATACTAAGAAAAATATAATATTACTATTATTTTCCTTCAAATATTTTGTCTACATTAATTGATTAATACTTGAACATTTTCCATCGACATAAAAAGTGTCGCAACGCGTCTATATGGCAAATTTTTACTAAAACGCTTCTACTATTAATACAAATTGTACCTACTTAACGTTTAGTGCGGGCCAGCCTTACCCCGGCCGCATGGTGAAGAATAAAAATAGGGGAATTTAGGAGTAAACCTGACCCATATTTCGACGGAAATATGAGTCAGAGGGGGAGAAACGACGATAATAATTTTGACTCGTCACAAGGAACAGTGGAACGACCCAATCTGAGGTCAGCGAGCAACGAGACCTCTGGTATTCGAGCTACGTCGGGAGGGGTACACCAAACTCATACGCCACAACAAGGCACTATCAAGCCTCATGATAATTTTCGAAAAAAGGTACCACACAACACGAAAAAACCTCATCGAAATAATGAAAAAAATTATCAAAAAATCCGCGCAAGTCTTTTTACTACAGTCTATTTTATTTCCGTGGTCTTTCGGGATACGTTATCTATCTCCATACAGTGTGTATCCGTTGTTATTATACTTTTAAGATTTAAGTACACGTTACTCTGAAAAAACATTCGAAAAATTTTGAGTTGACTGCTATACTTAGGTTTGTACATTGTTTTTGGTCAAAAGTATATTGGAAAGCCGTCGCATTGAAATAAAGACTGTGTGTAGTTGAATACACTGTCTCAAGCGTTTGACTTGATAATGCAGCCAAAACCAAGTATAAACAGACTTCCGACTTAAGAAAACATTTTGAAATTGAGCGTTGCATCTGTCTAAACAATATTCTGATCGTAACAAGCAAGCAATCCCAACATCTTTACTTAGATCTCCCAATTAAAAATGGTGTTCCACAAGGCACAATGCTCGGTCCAACCCACCAGTAAACATTTCCTTCATTAAGATGTTGTTAGACAACAGATACAATTTCAAAACGTTCCAAGTTCCAATAGTAATGAATAATTATTATGGGTCCATCCGCGGACATACACGACACAAATTAAACATTGGTGCTAAGATCGATAGCGTCGACTACTGTCAAGCAAATATTTTGAGGTGGTATAACATCACTGTCTATAAAATGGCGAAATAGAGAACAGAGCCATGAAAAACAGATGTAAACTAACTATCAAAAACAGTGGTTAATGTTTTTGATTAGCCACGAGTCAAAATATGATCACTTGAGGGTAGTAAACGCAGTCATATACTTAAAATTTAGTCCATCTCAATCCCAAGTGAACGAGCGCGAAGGCAAAAACTGTGAAACCTTCCTATATACACTAGGTTTATAAAGGTTAATATAATCTTAAATACTTTAGAGACTCACTACCGTACCTCAAGAGGTCGCTAGCAAAGTCCGTAATTAGATACTATGCTACCTTCTATTGCACTACCCCGGCGAATTCAAAAAAATAGTTTTTTTTTAATATATTACTTTTTAATGCTAAAAATAAGAACGTGTGGGGCCGTGAAGAGCACGAACATTGATATAAGATGAAAAATAGTCGTTTAAAAGACGTTTTACACGAAGCGAAGTACAATTTTTTTCTAGACCATCACTACAAATCTCATGAACACTGCTCGCGTTGTCCGGCTCTCTCCCCACGACTTGCAAGAAACACTACAGCCAAATTGGTAACCGCTTTGTTAAGTTTTGTACTAAAAACGTGTCCCTACCGCCTCCCTGTCGAAATCAAACGAGCCCTTAGCTTTTTATTTAGCTGTCCACGTTCTAGAGCGGGCGAAGAACGAAGGAGATAGAAAATGGACTTTGTCTTCTTCATTACGTTGCATGCCAAAGTTTCGTAGGAATAAAAGGGAATGATTGAATAAAGGTCGTGTGCAACGTTAGACAACCGAACCCGCTCTTTCGATGGAAATTCAGACCGAAATAGTTCCAAAGAACTACAAAAACGACATCTACAAGTCGTAAGACGCAACCATGAACGGGACAACACAACCGCAACAATATCCAAGTCAGAATTATAATCAAATGTAAAATAAAGGAAAAATATGAGGAAATTGTCTCTAGCTACACAGGTACAGTTATTTTCAAAAAATTAGACATTTCACTTATGTCTTACGCTTAGTATCTTACGATAAGTGAGCGTACACAAATGCGATTGTCGTGCGACAAGTCGCGAATGCGTCACCTCGTGACAGATAGACCTTACCTATCCACAAATGACAACGGACATCTAGCTAAGTTTTGGATACATATTTTGCTTAAATCGAATCTATTTCTGTCAAAAAATGCTCACTTTTGCGAAACCTACCCACTCTACTAAGATTTTTTACTTGGTAATAATTTTAAAATATTTGTAACGTATTTTACTGTCAAACTTTTGCAAACCCGAGATAAATTGCTGCATTCTGAAAGTGTTAATTATCTACCTATTTCCTAAAGTAATATTAATCGAAAGCGCTTTAAAACAAAGTTATCGTCTCGAAATACTTACAAATATTTCAAAATGGTAGATCTTGCAAAAGCGAGCCATATATTAGACGTCTTGTACTTCCAATCTAAAATATTTTGCTTAACATTAAACATTGGATAATGTTGCAATTTATTTAAATTTAATAGACGTCAAAGCGTCGTTAATCGTCAGAGAAATAATCAATGAACATCGATTGTTTAATAAATCGATACTAACGATCTCGGACGTAATCGATAATCGTATAGATTGCAGTCTGATATAAGGACAGTATTGAATCGAATATTCACACTAATATAATAATCAAAAAATTAGTTACCTACTAGATTGCTTCTATTTTATAGCACTTACGATTAAAATCAGCTGCAACGTATTCGATTGATAATCGATTTCAAAATCGATTCTCAGTAATCGATGTTCAGAGATGACAAACGCGTTTAATGTCCGTTTTTAGCTGAGGATACTTTTCACATAGGACGTGAATGTTGCCATCATGAAGAATCTTAGCCAGTTGGTGCAAATTTTCAAAAACTAGTCTAGGAGTTAATGCTAGTATGTTTTACCTTTACGGTAAAATGAGGGCAGGAGTTCTCGAAGTGGTAATAACTTAGATACCGCACTAGACAGCCAGCCAGCAGTCATTCTGGTACGTCGTAGACACAAGGTGAGGCTAAAATAGCCTGGCTGCCGCCTCCGGTTTGGATAAAGATGGGTGGGCGGCTTGCTGCTTGGTGCTGCCTAGTGCGTTATCTGCCAAAGTGCAGTCAGATATTTTTATTTGAACATTTTAAAATAAAAGACTCAGTTATAGTGTGGGAGTCTTAAAAAATCGAGATAATGGTGCAATTCTCTGCCAAACTCGTTTTAGGAATGATTTTTAAAGTTGCTAGCGTTAAAAATAGCTTCACAAGGTGTTGCTAGTGCTTTAGACTAGTTTTATACCATTCCATACTAAACTCGATGTATCCCGATGTGTGAATTGGGCAGATATTGTTGTGCAAAGTTGAATTATTCGTTAAATTGTAATATTTCATCTTTGCAGAGAGACTGCGGCGTGGGAGGTGACAGACACCAATGTTTGGAACGGGTACAATATCGATACTGAATTTTTTACACAAATTGGACCAAACTATTTTAATAAGTAAAAAACAAAAATTAAAAACCCCACTTAAAAAATTAACCTTAGTCAAAAAATGAAAAACCCATTTAAAAAAATGAATAACCCCACTGTAAAATATGAATAACCCCATTTTCAAAATAAACCCTGAATAAAAATTGAAAAACCTCACTTTCAAAATTGAAAACCCCACTTTAAAAATTGAATAACCCCGTTCCAAAATGGCGTCGTATGTTAGTAAGGTACAAGTACTGTCCGATGTTTAAAAACACGACACTTGGGCACTACTGTTGACCAACTCTTGAAACATTTAATCTCAAGGTTTTCAAAATAACCCTAAGAAAAGTAATACTGAATCGGTTTTGGGTAAACATTTTTTGGCTTGCTTTGGGTAGATTTTTTGACATCTTTGTGGTTAATGGCGGGACAGATTATAGCTGTACACTTCGAACTTTTTGAAGTATAAAGTTAAATTAAATTATATATTTTTAGAAAAAGTTTTCAGAATTAAAAATATGACCAATTATTTTGTTGCCTTGACAAATGCCGTCATTTCTTCATACTTAGGCGTTTACCTTACTATGAAGAAACAACTACATTCATGATAAAAACCAGTTTTACTGAAATCGTCTCATTTTTATTACTAAGACGACCGAAACTGTCCCAGTAACGTACTACAATAACCAAAACCGTCCCAAACAGGACGGAAACGGTCCCAAAAATTCCCGAAACTGTCCTTTCCAGCCGAAGCTGTCCTTTCCAGCCGAATCTGTCCCTTGCAATGTCAAAATCTACCCGTAAAGTTAGTCAAAGCAGTCTAGTTCCCTCGTGTCGCATGTATAAGTGACTAACACCAGCGGAAGGGCACGGCGCGCGGTCGGTCGGCTCCTTCCTTCACGAGCGGCTTGTGGAACTCCCGGCCGGGCCGCGAGTGGATCGTCGCCCAGCAGTGCTCGCAGTAGTACTGGAAACAAACAACATCAAGTTACGATTCAACGTCATATTCATTTTATACACATACTAAATATAAGTAAAATTACAACATCTAAGAGGTCGTTGGCCGAGTGGTCGCAAGTGCGACTGTCTAGCAAGGGGTGGTCGCAAGTGCGACTGTCGAGCAAGGTATCGGGTTCGATTTCCGGGTCGGGCATATATTACTGTCATTACTGTGTTTTTAAAAAAAACAAGCACCTCTGCCTACTCCTTCGGGGATAAAAGGCGTGAAGTTATGTTATGTATGTAATCTTATACTATTATATAAAGCGTAAAAGTTTGTTTTTTTGTTTGTTTGAACGCGCTAATCTCCGTAACTACAAGTCTAATTTGAATAATTATTTTTGTGTTGAATATAATTTATCGGGTACTAGCTTTTACCCGCGGCTTCGCTCGCGTCACAAAAGAATAAAAAGTAGCCTATGTGACATATACCAATACACACAGCGCCATCTATACCAATAATTTCATTTTCCCTCGGGAATATCAATTTTTCCGGGATAAAAAGTACCCTATTATTTAATCCGGACTACTAACTTTACGTATGCAAAAATTCAAAGCAATTGGTTTAGTAGTTACGGCGTGAAGGCGGAACAAACAAACAACCAAACAAACAAACTCACTTTCAGATTTATAATATTAGTAAGGATGGCTATAGGCTATAAAACATCACGCTACGACCAATAGGAGCTGAGCAGAGCATGTGAAACCGCGTGGTAGCTAAGTAGCTAGTAAATAATATAATTAATAATTATGTTTACCTGCAGACAGGTGACGTTGGCGCAGAAGAATGGCGCGAACTTGGATCCACACCGCGCGCCGGCACACTCGTCACACATCTGGTCGTCCAGCACGTACGGCTTCACCTGCAGCCCATACCGACACTCTTACATATGTGTAGCTCTAGTATATATTATAATGTAAAAAACTGTGGATTGATCTTAAAATCCTTATATAAACGTCATTCTTTTCAACAATATTGAACTCAATATGTAAAAAAATGAGTTAGGCCACTATGGTTCTCATGGCCTCAAATGACATCGATGCGGACGAATTTTTTGACTTATAGCAACACTGGCTCACTGACAAATGCGGTGACAGCGCGCGACCGTCGCGCTGTCAGAATATTAACACGTTCGAGGACAGAACGAGATTATACGTTATCGTTCGAAATTTTAATATGGCACAACGTACGATGACGTTCAAATAACATTTAAATTATACGGCAGAACGTTCATTTCCGATGAAAGTTCAAGTAAAAATCCTTTTAAATGTATCTTGTGTCACAACATATAAAATACCCAACTCTGTACTGTCACGTAGGGTAAGTTTAGAACTATTTAAAATAAGTGTCGTTGATAGTGTGCGGTTACGGTATTCACATACGCACAACGTGTTTATACGTCCCGCGCTCCTACATTCAGCGCGGCTGTGTCACTGTGTACATTACTTTAATGCAAATTAATGATTTTACAGTGTGAAATTGATGTTTAATGGGTTATTGTGTGTTTTAGATGGATATAAGCGCAAAATAAGACACAAGATAAGCATGTTTGATGATTCCGACATCTCCAACGAGGCGGATCCTTACCTAGATGCATATACACGTTGACGTGATAAAACGGTTGTGTCATGATATGTTTAAAACGATATTTCTTCATGGGACACTACGTACTGATACGTCGTATAATTTTGTATAGACATGTACTGTGTCATTTTGAAAACCCGACTCAAGTGGTAGCGTCCTCGAACGTGTTAAGTACTTTCCTTAATCAAAAATATTTTATTTCGACTGTTCAATACAATAAAATATTAAACAATAATCACACTTTCTTTAATTGATTTTATGACCAATTTAATTTTAGTACACTTCCCGCAATTTTTCAAGAAATAACTATGCTGTTTGACGCTAAAAAACGTGACGTCACAATACACAATCTCGTAGAAAACTGTCGTTTTTGACAGTTGGTAAAAAGTATTGAATTTGACTAGTTGGCAAGTACCCGATTGAGCTGCTGTTAAAGTCGATAGAGTCTAACATAGTCCGTAGATATATTTAAGCAACTTGGCAAAATTGCAGACAACACTGTGTCTGAAAATGACTTATTATCCACTCTGTCAATTCATTCTCAGTGACTGTATAACAGTATGCGGTGTACACACGCACACACACACGCACGCGCAACACACACTCACTCACTCACATACACACACACACATACAAAATACACATTAAAGCATTATGTTATTTTTTTCTTTTTGTACTGTTTGTTAGGGAGCCTGAGCCTCACGACACAGGGAATCCTAGTGTGAGGTCCAGGATACAACAAAATTGTAACTTTTTTTAAAATTAACTTTCTTATTTTTATACTATATCAATGTCGGTTTAAGTTTACCTCGACCCGCTTGTCAATATCCCCATGCTGTAGCTGCACGAAGCGCGCAGAGATGGCCGCGATGTATGACTGCTGGTTGGAGAACGCCACGCGACCCGCGCCCTGCAACCATTACGATATCTAACTGAATAAACATCCCCAATCGAATCTAGTCAATGGTTATACGTTTCTGCGTTCAGTAGATGGCGCTAGTGGAGATTAAAAGCCTCTTGGCTATGTGCACGACGGTGGCGACGCGTATCGTTTACAACAAATATAAATAAAACCAAAGATTAAAGTAGTAGACATTATTTAAGTGCAATTTATTCAATAGTTTTACTGTAAAATCAATATAAGTAATAATAAAGACCGGGTTTGCATCATCCGCATTTGTTTCCAATTTCTGCCGTGTTGTGCGCTGCGGTCGTTATCTGTCCGCCACTACTCGCTTTGCACATAGCCAATACATTGAAATTCTTGTGATCAGCTAAAATAATGTTCACACTTTTGAACTAGACAATTTATCAGTCCTCTGAATTTGTCGCCAGGAGTGAATTTATACTTCAAGTGACAAATTCAAGAAACCTTCATTGGGGTTTTCATGCTTCTAGAGGCGCTAGTTTAGTTTTAGGATTATTACCCAATACAATTATTAGCTAAAATCTAGTCGTTAGTTAGTTAACAGATCATAGCACCGCTGACTGGATTATTATTAACAGTATCTTAGACTTTACCAGCGCCATCTGGTTATAGCAAAATTCAAAACAAATCAGTTTAAGTCAGTATTTCTTCCAGATACAAAAATTGATCAAATGGGTAGAGTTATTAAAATATTACATAATAAAAGAGCGGACCTTAGGGTACTTGAGCTCGGGATCAGTGTCGATGCCGGCGTAGCAGACACCGCCGTAGAACCGGTCCATTATCATCGCCAGCTCCACTGAAATATTACATCAATAACGTGTTAAGTTTACATTAAGAATCTGTCGCTTGATGTCCCCGCTCAATATTAACCTGCAGCTGTAGCCAAATGCCATTTAGCGCTTGTCTACATGTAGAATAGAAAACCAAATTATTTGGAATTGACGTAAATTTTGACACTTATCAGTGTCATCCCCATACATTTTGATTTCTACTCTCTCTGTAGACAAGCGCTAAAGTGGCGTTTGGCTAAAGGCCCAGATTCGATTAAGTATGGAGCGAGCAATGCGCAGCAGAAGTCCTTACCTCACCAATATCTTAAAAAACTCTATGACAAAAAGGATTTTAGCGAATCCAAATAAAACAAATTCAATTTAGAATTTTGCAAACTTGCAACAGTAAATATAGACTTGTTATAATCATAGGTCCTCTATTGGAAGCTCGCAGTGGCTTATATAAATATCTTGTCAGATTAGGGGCGTTTAGGGGTCTATAATTAAAAAAATCGATATTTAAATGAAGTTATCACAATATCATTATTACTTTTCAGGAAATATCTTCAAAGATAAAAAATTGGTCTTACGAAAAAGACTTCATTTAGTACAGAATGATGATTAATATTTTCCAAGCCCTCCTGAAATAAGGATACACTCACCAGCCTTCAGCGGACGCGGCACTCCTCCAACGAACACCGTCTTCCGAGGGTCTAGTGGCATACTAGCGTCCAACACAAAGTCTGCGTCCGCGAGCCTCCACGGCCGGATCTGTACGGGCTTGTCGCGGATAGTTGGCGACGAGACACACAGGTACAGCTTGTCGTCGTCCGTTATACAGGCCTCCATTAGAGCCGCTACTGAGCTCTCGTCCTAAAGGAAAAGTATGATATTTTGAAGAATAACTACATACTAAATCAATTCTGTCACTGAGTTTTTTTTTAATCTCAGTGGTAGCACAGAATCAGGAATTATGCCCGGTATATTTCACATGTTGTCCAACACTAAACTAGGTCATTATAATTATCACTAAAATCAACCAAAGATAGGAGATCCCATAAAGCCACCACCAAAAAGTTGCTACATTGGTCGTCGTCTTTCATGTCTTTTTTTAATCAATGTCATGTATTTCTGAACTCCTGCATTATTCAATAAAACAAAGCTGTTAACAATAATTAGTACCTGAAACAGTAGAAACGCGTAACCCTTGGGTGGGAAATAACTCTTGCTCTCTGCTTTGTGAGGCCAGTCCACCACGAGCGGCCCGAAGCGACGGAATGATGACGTAATCTCATCTGTAACAAACATCGTCAAATGTTAGATCAGGTTTTATTACAGGCCACAAACTAGTTTACGCTGGTTACGGATAACTGAAAAGTTTAAGTGTGGGAGAGCCATGCTTCGGCACGAATGGGCCGGCTCGACCGGAGTGATACCACGGCCTCACAGAAAACCGACGTGAAGCAAGGCCTCACAGAAAACCGACGTGAAGCAACGCTTGTTTGACGTGAGGTTACCAGAGGCTCAATTACCCTCCCCTTCCCAAATCTCCCCAATTGCTGAATCCCCAACGATCTTCAAACTCCTAATCCCCAAAAGGCCGGTAACGCACTTGTAATGCCTATAGTGTTCCGGGTGTCCATGGGCGACGCCGATTGCTTACCATCGGGTGATCCGTCTGCTCGTTTACCGGCTAATGCCATAAAAAAAAGGTATCTTCTCGCTTGTTCTTATGCACGAAGTTTACAGGGACCCTATCTTTCCACCCCCAAAAGACTGGAATGGCACTTTAAACTCCTCTGATGTCGCGTGTGCCGAAGAATGCAAATCATCTAATGACTTGCCTGCTCATCCCAATAATCTGGATGTTAAGAGAATACACGAAAGAAGGTTTACGAAAGCGATGTCAGTGCTAACCATATACGCTAACATTATTCAAGATACCCCAGAAAGTGGCCAATGCTAGGAGCACCAATAACAGTAACGACAATATGTATAAATGTTATGAAAACTAATATGGAACGCCAATTACTACGATTCCTACATACCTCTATCGCTTCATCAACAGTCATCAATCTTTTCGTTGAGGGTTCCATAGTCTCTGCCGGTAGGCCGGGGGTACCCCATGGGAGACAACTAAACCATAATTTGGTACTTTTAAAACGTCAACAAATACAAAATAAATAATAGTCTGTCAGTCAGTCTGTTATTGAAGTTAGGTGAAACTAGGTGTTCATTCCAAAATGTAGATTCGAATGGAGAAGAACGAGCAAGAAACTCCATTCGTTACTCTTTTAAAAAAAGTATGTTCTACAATGTCTCTGATGCATATTCTAATACTGTACGTACATACATATTGATATGTGAGTACAATGCAAAGACATGAATTTCGCCGGTATGATATTGGGCGAGGGAGAAGATGCTCACGTCGGGGAAAGAAGAAGTGGGTGGATTCTCTCTCTGTACCCGATGTATAATAAGTTACACGTGGTGATGCATCGTCTGACACTCACAGCACAGTGCGTTACACGCGTACAATGTACCTAGCTACACGTCAACAAGGCCACGTGTGGGAAGGTCTGCAATCACACTTCATACGCTGTAATCACTATAAGTATACCGTGCACTTATAATCCAATATACAAGTCTTTTGTACTAGAACATTATTATAGCTACGCAGTGTTACGCCTGTTATAACTCGAAGACGTTTGTAGACATCTAATCGTCATTAAAAATTCGATAGCTAAGACGTCGTCGTCATTATTTTTATTTATTTATTTAAGGTTTATACAATAGGGTAGATGACTAATTTTTATTTTAATGTCCGTCTGGTAGATTATTTTAAATCATTAGACACGTACTTTTTATTTTTTACCGAACGAATACTTTAGACGATACATTAATTTGAAATGTCGCGTGACGTCAGTTCTATGTACATTTTATACGTAGAAATGACGTTTTAGCCCCCACTCCTAAACTTTGATTCGTTATATCTAAGTATCATTATATTATACAACAAAATAAAAAGTACGTGTCTAATATTTTTTCATTACCTAACTTACGGACTAATTAGATTTTTAATTTTCATACCCTGTCATTCCTATTGCATCTACAGCATTCTCTGCTTAGTCATCATCATCAATAATTTCCAGTGCTGAACCAGGACCTGCGACTATTTGAGAGTGTTTGGCGTATTCTCTACGCTATGCAGTCGAATGCGGATTAGAGATCGCAGAATAAATGGTTTGTTAGATAACACTGCTGCCTCATAACTGTCAAAGATGTAAGGTCTGGGTATCCAATGCAAGAGGGGGGGACGCTGTGACAAAATTGTTGAGTTTGAGCTAAGCTGTGCGACATGTAGTAGAAGTGTAGTGGAGTACTGAATTCCACAGTTATGCGAGAACTATCATTGACAAAGTGGATTTATTATTTTCAACGAAAACATCACTAATATGCGAGGTGCTACATGTCAATAAATTATGCGTGGTACTTCATACGTGGTACATGAAGCGATATACATATATTATTATTATCTGCTTTACACAATGCAAGCCAAGAGTCTCCTTCAATATTCGGAATAGGAGGTAAATGAGCAGACGGATCACCTGATGGTAAGCGATCAGCGTCGCCCATGAACACCCGCAACATCAGAGGAGTCACAGGTGTGTTGCCGGCCTTTTAAAAAGGAATACGCCTTTTCTTAAAGGTTTGAAGGTGTTATCGATTCGGAAATACCGCCGACGATAGATCATTCCACAGTGTTGCTGTGCGAGGCAGAAAGCAACGTGAGAAGCGCACAGTTGTGGCCTGCCAACCATCTATATGGTGGGTATGCATATGCTGTCGTGAGGGTCGATAGCGAAAAGATGCGGCAGGTATCAGGTCGAACAATTCCTCAGAGCACTCCCCGTGGTATAAGCGATAGAAAGTATATGTATATGGTATAATCTTTTATTTAGATCCTTTTTTAGCCATTCAAAAACCACCTTTCAAAATAAAAAACATAAACGTCAATCATTAATTACAACAAATGCTTTCCTAAGCTGTTTAATAATTCAGAGTTGAAATTACTTCGAGTTAACTTTGAGTGGTTGCTAGGCAACGGATACACAACAGTTATGGTTGCTGGTGCAGCGTAATGGAGCAACCAAGGCTACATCGATATTGACCTGAATAATAATGTTTGTGGAACTAATAATCACCGGTCGAGGCTGGCTTTTTATGTGAAAACCAATTTTTTAAGTAATTTCATGTTCGTTACAAATGTATTTGTCTAATAAAGGTATTAATGAGATCCGAATCTGCTTGTGTAACTACCTGAGAATGTATTTGTCTATATTATAAAGGTATTAATGAGATCGGAATCTGCTTGTGTACCTGAAACTATCATACATACTATCATCAAAGTGTAATCGAAAACGTATGGAGAATGTACCTAATGGTAATTTTAACCATTCTTAAAGCGAAGGATACAGTACAACAGGACAAATGTCGTGCGCCTCATGTCACCAGCGACGTTGGCTGAAGTAGCGCGTCGTTTTTTTTTATGGCATTAGCCTGTAAACGAATAGACGGATTACCTGACGGTAAGCAATCGGCGTCATCACACATGGGCACCTTGAACACCAGAGGCGTTACAAGTGCATTACCGGCCTTTTGGGAATTAGGTGTTTGAGGATTGGTGGGAATTAGGAGTTTGAGGATTGTTGGGGGATTGGGAAGATTAGAGAAGGGGGAGGGTGGTAATTGGGCCTCTGGTAACCTCACTCACACGACGAAACACAACGCAAGCGTTGCTTCACGTTGCTGGACTTTGGTCGAAATGTCAACATCAACATCACTGTGGATCCGTGTCGCGCGATATTTGTCCCCTAATGTATCCTTGGCTTCAATTTTAAGGACCCCTAAGTTAAGATTGCTTAGACCCTTTACACTAACCTTTAAGTGACACCTAACAGTACAAATTAGGTTGTTTAGATGCTCCCTTACGCTTAGAAACTCTTGGCTCAAGAGATGGACGTAATTATCACGCTATCATCTATGGGAGAGGAGCTGTGAATCACTATTGCACGCGGACGAAGTCGCGGGCACAGCTTCTAGTACCTACATATAAAAAGATTCGATAGATCAGCTATGAGTGAAGTGATGTATGTATATAAAAGAAAATTTTCATTTCGTTAAAAGCACGTATGTATAGGCTATGTAGGTATATAAATAAAGTAATTTCGTTATGGGTGTCGCGTTTTCAAGTAGGCAGGTGTAAATATTTTACCCAGTCTTCGTCAGTTATGTTATTAGGAGCGTTATAGGAGACTATAAGGCTTATAATATATTGACATATGGGTGTTATCGATGGAAAATTTTCAAATTCAGAGGATCTAATTAATATGGGTTTTAAGGGCTCATATACAAAGCTGCGATGCGATGCGACAACGCGTTTTCTAGGGTAACCATTCCTTCGACGACCGTCAACCGTACTACATAAATGTATTTGAAATTGAAAACTAGGTCGTGACATGGATCGTAAAAAGAAGAGTACACTTCTGTTATTGCTTAGGAGATACAAGAAAAAGGAACAAAGAATATTTTGGAAAACAGATTTTGATGCGCGATGCGAATCAATTCGCAAATTCTTGCGATGCATAAAGGGAGCTAGTACATTTTTGCGATGCAACGTCGCATGCATAGCAGTTTTGTGTACGAGCCCTAAGTTGGATATATGTATTACTAGCTTCTGCCTGCGATATCGCAACCGTTTTTTCCTATTAACGTAGAATTTTCAGGAAATCCTTGGATAAAAACCTATGTCTGTCTCCTGATTGTAAAGATAACCTCTCCAGCAATTTTCATCCAAATCGATTACCTAAGCCGTTCTTGAGTTATAAATAGTGTTAACTAACGTCCAGTTTCTATAACCTATGTATCTGTAGATTTGCTTACTAGAGATAGAATTTTGACACATTTTGTATGGAGCTCATGTCAAAATTCTATCTCTAGTAAGCAAATCTACAGATAGATAGGTTATAGAAACTGGACGTAAGACGACTTTCTTTTATAAATATACAATATTATGTCGTATTACTTGGGTTACAAGTAACTAACAATATCGACCGCCTGCGACGGTCTGCTTTAAGAGTATGGGCCTCCTCTATATAAGAGGGTCTGTCACAAACTCCACGTCTGGCAGGGGTTTATTCCACTTTGTTCACCTGGGTGATTTCACCTAGGTGAACAAAGTAGACTTTTTGGAGTCCTCAATTCACCTGGGAATTATTTCACCCAGGTGACATCACCTAGGTGAATTGAGTTGACTCAAGTAGTCTCCTTTGTTCACTTGTCAATTTAATTCACCCAGGTGCACAAAGGCGACTTTTTACTTTTACATTGTGGACTTATATCACCTACCTACCTTACATCAAACACTATGAAGTTTGGAATTATACCCAGTGTACAGCAATAAGCTCACCCCTATTACATGGAACTCCTAGCGTAGTGTTAGAAATTGTGATATATTTTTGCATGTGTAATAGACCAACGTTAATCTGATATTTGAACATATTAAAATGTATGTTAAATTGAAAGTTTTTATTTAACTTGATGTAAGGTAGGTAGGTGATATAAGTCCACAACGTAAAAGTAAAAAGTCGCCTTTGTGCACCTGGGTGCATTAAATTGACAAGTGAATAAAGGAGACTACTTGAGTCAACTCAATTCACCTAGGTGATATCACCTGGGTGAAATAATTCCCAGGTGAATTGAGGACTCCAAAAAGTCTACTTTGTTCACCTAGGTGAAATCACCCAGGTGAACAAAGTGGAATAAACCAACCTAATAGGCACATTTTTCGAATAAGTCTAATCATGCACCAGTTAGGCTAGACTAAAACCATATTACATATCGCCATTAGATTCAAATAAACGTAATTTTCTCCACAAATTAAAAAAAAAACTGTTCGCCCACTTTTTTTTTAAGGGGGGAAAATCATCGAATGACTGCTCCCGCCTGGGTGAGGCGGAAGGGAGTGTCAGACTCTTACTGACTAAAACCCACCAAACCACCCCGTTCCTTCTCCTGCACGCCGAGCCGGAGCCCCGGTTACCCGTTAGGTTCTCCGCCCACTAGGATTATCTCCTGTGTCGTGAGTGCGTTTACATACAATTTCAAACACATTACACCCAATCCCAAACAACCATTTGTGGATAACACAGGGTTGCTCCGTTTGGGAATTGAACCGGCTACAAGTTGCACGGCAGCCATTTGCCCAACCATCGCATCAATCGTGCAGTCAAACCCAGCATTTTCCCAGTTAAGAAAAAAATCACCTTTCTACCTCAAAAATCACAGGTAAAAGAACCGCTTACGACGACATGTTCCCTGTAAATCCCTTAGCCGGCACATGCCCACACGGCAATGCGAAAAAGGGATAGTGTTACATCACGCAGCATTCTATCAGATCATATATAATTCATTTCAATGGTATCTGCTGACCCAGTTACCACAATGGAGGCACTGGCTTGTCAACCTGTCCCGGTAATGGCTACTGATAAATGTACAATGGTTGAATGTCCATTGTCAACTTATATCTAGGTTGGGTTAATTCTGGATTGTGTTTCAGAGATAAGTATAAAGTCGATGTAAACTTATATATGTATAAGCAGTGTTTTGTGTTATTGTGTCGAAGGTAAATAAGGATGTTTAGGTTTGTGGTTGCATGCCTAAGTACGTGTATCGCCTGGACAGTTACCGGCTTACCGCCACTGTCATTGGACAATCGTTAATCTCTTCATTTGATCTGTTTTACATACGACTAAAGAACTGTTGATGACACGAAAGAGGTATGTAAGAATCGTTGCAATTGGTGTTCCATAGTCTCTGCCTACCTCCATTGGCGTGAAGTTGTATGTATGTTGTTCAACATAATCTGAAGATGATGCCTAAATAGCTTTGTATGTCAAGTAGACAGGCAACCTCTATACTTCTATAATATTTGACTAGACAACGCTACGCAATCACATAATCTCTACACGACATGAGCTGCTGTTTGCATCTGAACATAAGCTCATGGCGATACCTAAGTACGTGTGTCGCCTGGACAGTCACCGCTACCATCAGTTAACTGGACAATCTCTTTACATGAGCTGCTGTTTACATGTGAACATTAGCTCATGACGATACCTAAGTACGTGTGTCGCCTGGACAGTCACCGCTACCATCAGTTGACTGGACAATCTCTTTACATGAGCTGCTGTTTACATGTGAACATTAGCTCATGACGATACCTAAGTACGTGTGTCGCCTGGACAGTCACCGCTACCATCAGTTGACTGGACAATCTCTTTACATGAGCTGCTGTTTACATGTGAACATTAGCTCATGACGATACCTAAGTACGTGTGTCGCCTGGACAGTCACCGCTACCATCAGTTGAATGGACAATATTTACACTGCAATTTTGTTGAAGAACTTACCCTCATCGATGTCCGGTGGCAACCCGCCCACGAACACCTTTCGGCTGAATCGCTCTCCGTGCTCGGAACCGGCCGACACGGGCGACGACCGGGCCGGAGAGCCGAGCGCACTCACGCACATTGATAGACCTGAAACAATGTTGGGAATTCCTAATAAAAGGTGTTTTGAAAAACCTTAATATTGTACCTATAGCTTAGGCCAAGATCGATGTGATATGTTTGTAAACGAACTACAAAGATAACAATACAATATTTGGCCGCACCGTATCGTATTTTTCTGTGTTCACTCAGAACTGTCAGTAAATAGAGTAAGAAAGGGGCAGGAGTGTGACGGCAGGGGTGGAATTGACTAGATGTAGTTCCCATCCATAGGTATTCTCATTACAATCGTTATTAATCATTATCTATTTTGCGATGGGAGCTACCGTTCTACAAAATGTGGCACGCTGTGACGTCACACGATATTTCAATACAAGACACCCCATGCACCCTTCTGGAACCAATTAATCCTACGAAACTGTCAATTGTACAACAAAATATTTCTTGAAGGTTTGAAGGTCGTATCGGTTTGGAAATACCGCAGACGACAGACCATTCCACAGTTTTGCTGAGGAAGGCAGAAAGCTACGAGAGAAGCGCACAGTTGTGGCCTGCCAACCAGCTATCTATATGATGGGGATACATATGCTGTCGTGACGGAATTTGGGTCCAACTTTATTTTTTCTTGTAAAAATATCATAAGATCTAAGAATCTGAATCTGGCCAGATACTAACCGGCAGCCGAGAGCCTAGAGACCACATCCTGTGCCTGGTCGGGCACGGAGGGCGAGCCCGCGCCGGCCGCGCCCCCCGCAACTGCCGCCTCCTCCACGCCGGGGAAGAACGGCGACTTGCCTGTGGACAATAGAAAATAATTATTAATACTAATGTATTAAACATCAATTTTCAGTAACAGTCTATTGCTGAACTGAGTCTTCCGTCTTCTGACCCTAATCTCCACGCCTGACACGTGAGTTGGAGATTACAATGTAGGCGAGTTGGAGATCACAATGTAGAACTGCCCGGTCTTTTATGTGTAGTCCCTTCTTACGATACCCACCACACGATAAGGGATGGTTTTCGATCGTTTGACTTACGTGATATATTAAAAAAGAAAATGTTTTATTTAACTGTAGATATAATGACGTCATGCCTTTTAATCACCGAAGGGGTAGGCAGAACTTTCCATACACAATATCTTCCATGTTACGAGTCCCATGTAATAGGGATTGAGCCTAAGTCTTCAGAAGAGACGATAAAGGCAGAGTATATTATTTTAGTTGACAGACAAACATATACACAAAGTCCTTGTAGACATGTACACTACATCAGCCGCGCATAGTGTAGAGTAGTTAGCACGGACGACCTCCAATGACCCGAGAGGTCACGAATTTAAGGTCATCGAACCACAAATCCAGTGAGTCCTGCCAAGAGGGTTAGCATCCTTTTTGCTGTAAATTGAGACACGATTACATCTATAAAAAATTTTGCCAAACCACAGTAGAATTACTACTTAAATTTGTCAGCAGCCCTGCTCTACCCGCGGGTGTCGTTTACCCGACTAAGGGACTACACATTTGACAGAGACTGGGCAGCAGCGCTCTCTGATAAACCTGAACCTTTTATACTGTGATCTTCAAGGTTAACCTTCTTATGTAGAGGAAGTCTACAGTGCAGCAGTACTGTAACGGGCAGGTAACGTAATATTACGGTTGATATTTATAAAAAATAATATCACACCCACACCCTGAATAATAATTCTTTATTAATCACTTGCTGTTGCCCGTGACTTCATCTTCGTTCGAATATGAATTTAACGACATGTTTTTGTTTCAATTTACCAAAATAAAAGTAGCCTATGTTACTGTTTACTACATCAGCTAAATGCCAATAAAAGTCCCGTCAAAATCGGTTCAGCCATTCCAGAGATTAGCCACTTCAAATCGAACGACAAAAATTAAAAAAAATGTAGTTTTGATATGTGTATCGTATGTACCTATATTCATATGCATTATTTTAATATTACAGTCACTACAATTTTATTTATTATCTGTATAGATTCACCGTGTGTAACTAGTAGTTAATAGAAAATCTGAATCCATACAATTAAAATATCGAATCAGCTCCCCCTGAAATAACTATAGCTTAACTGACAGTATGAACCCGATACTCTGAGCTCGGTAATCGCATTAACTACTTACCAAGCTACCAATAGGACTGACGATCGCAATGACATACAACCTCATTTTAAAGGGCCACCAATATATTCAAGGAATACAAAATATGGTTGCCCTAGTTAGTTCAGAATTTTACGACAGTACATGTCACAGTATAACTATAAAAATAAATTGTATTTTGTCTGTCACAAGTTGATGTAGGAGTTTAGCGAATGTATGAAGTATTTTATGCTCTACCCGGGTAGGTAGAGGTACTCACTTATCTATACATAATAATAAAGCAAAAGTTTGTGTTGTGTGTCTACCTCATTGGCAGTGGTCGCAAGTGCGACTGCCGGGCAAGGGGTCTTGCGTTCGATTCCCTGGTCGGGCAAAGTATTACTGGGTTTTTAAAAATCTCAGTAGTAGCACGGAGCCGGGAAATATGCCCGGTATATGGCAATAGGCTCACCCCCTACTACATGGGACTCATAACATAAATAGTGAAAAGTGGGTGTTACATTGTACAATGGCATAATGTACACCTCTGTCTACCCCTTCGGGGATAAAAGGCGTGATGTTATGTTATGTTATAAAGACGATGATTTCTACGTTTTATTAGAGTTTAATTTTAATACTTAAATTAATACTATTAACGATCGAGTCAATGACATAATTAGGTATATAATAAAAATGTCTGACAATTTGGAGATACGCCAACGAATTGTTATGTCGGTATCAACAAACATACTGATATTATTATGTAGATATATTAATTACAATTGCATAATTTTATTGCTATGTTAGATAATAAATATTAAATTGTATAGATTACACTACATGAGCTGCTGTTTACATGTGAACATTAGCTCATGACGATACCTAAGTACGTGTGTCGCCTGGACAGTCACCGCTACCATCAGGTGACTGGACAATCTCTTTACATGAGCTGCTGTTTACATGTGAACATTAGCTCATGACGATACCTAAGTACGTGTGTCGCCTGGACAGTCACCGCTACCGTCAATTGACTGGACAATCTCTACAATTTATGACATTATCTGCTGTTTAAAACAAACTAAGACAATAGAAAACAATTTGGAATTATTTTCAAAATCGCGTTTACCATATAAAAGCTTACCAAATAACCGTTATTAGAAAAAATATCGCAAAAGTGCGTGAAAAATAAAAAAGTGCTTGATCAAAACGATAAAAATTATAACGACTCTTTCCATTGGAGTACCAAGCAGCGAAATTTTTTATGTAATAAAAAAATAACTTTATTTTTCAGAAGTATGTATTTACGCTCTATTTCGGGTTGTGCCGTGGTGATTCTATGATATTTCATGACAAAATATCTTGAAAATATAAAGAAAAAATGTACTCACTCTTTCTATACGGGAACCTCGGGCCTCTAATGAAAGGTGTAACTAGAGGAATAGTATGCACCGACATAATATTTTACACGATTACTCTCGAAAATGCGGGTTTATCTCAATGTGAAAAAATATAATTGCAAAAAATTAGTTTTCTATATTTTTTACGAAAAAACGTGTGACCCCCGCTACGACGGACTACGCGAATGGAAAAAAAGTAGGATCGACAAATGTTCCAAATTTAAAAAGGTACTTTTTTAAATCTAGCATGCCATGCCGACGGTATTCGATCGAGTAACGATAATAACCGTTATAAATAACTGCTGAATAACGTTAAAATAACTTTATTAATGAACTCTTTGGTATTTAATTAATATTTTTTCAGTGTTGCTTGAATTGCAAATAAATAATTATTAAAACTATAATATATGTGTTTGTTAAATTGTTTCACAATATTATACTAGTGGATAATAAAATGAGGCCATAAACCAATTTCTAAATAAATACTTTTTGTATTATATGTGGTTTAATTCATTCATTCTTAAATAAAATCTTAATGAAATGGTACACGCTCAGTAATGAATTGTTTGATTTAATTTCTATTAAACAACTCGTAAGAATAAACAATAAATTAAAAAGCCCACCATCTTTTTTTACACGACAAAAATTTTACGCGCCAAAAAGAAGACATCCATGACACAACCCATGTCTAAATAAAAAAAAATAACTGGGAAACTTTTTTTTTGTAAATATCACGACGTTTTGTTTACGCAGCTTGTGTTTGGTATTGTCAAAATATTTTTAATTAATTATATTACAGACTAGAACTCCTCGGACGTTGCATTCGCCTTGACATACCGTGTCGCATATAGCACATAGCCAATGTCATATTGCAGCACCCACGAACAAGCCAAGTGTCGCAATGCTGACTCGAGTAGCGTTATACGTATTAGCGTTTTGTTGTTGCGTTTTTGGCGACAATTTTTTAAAAAGGTTTTATGTGTTTTTGGTCGCGTGATCGAAAATGTAGTTGTAGGACAAAATGTTCAGCAAGAAGATTAGACAAATTATTACTAGAGTAATATTTTCGGTACTCAGTGGAGTCCACTGTTCGACTATGAGTCTCCACTCACACCATAACGGGCGCCGTCAACTGGGACTGGTCAGCTCCAGACTGTATTATTTATTGTCCTTAAGGTTATTTTGTTTTTTGATCACTTTGACTGGATTTTAGTGTTACATTGTTCTCGCACAATCCAAACAGCAAAACTATGTAACTAGAGAATTGTATTGTGAACCTGATTGAAAAAGAGGAGTTTCTTGCTCGTTCTTCTCCTTTATCTTCTACTTTTTTTTTTTTTTTGTTGACGTTCAAAAGTGCCCTTCTGGCCTAATTGAATTAAATGATTTTGACTTTGACTCTACATACATAAGTGAGTTTGCGATCATTTTCATGCTTGGCAACTTTGTAGATCGCACTTAAAAAGGTTCAGGTTTATCAGAGAGCTCTGCTGATCATGTTTCAAATAGCTAAGAATAATAAATTAGGAGGGTCCTACGACACCCACGCGAAAAGTAAGGGTGGTACAAATGTATTGTACCTCTATTTTCATAAATACGCACCAAAAAGGTCTGTATCTTACATCTTCATACAATAACAGACCAAAGTAATTACAGTACATTATTACGTTACTAGCTACAATAAACTCGTACAAACGATTTGCATGTTCATAAACTGACGTGGTGTACGGCCATTTGGATCAATACAATATCCACTTAATAACTTAGTGCGAACTTGAATATTAAATATTGCAGGGACCCAGTTCTCACAGCGATCGATATGAGTCAAGGTAGCTGCGATGTTTTAATGCCCATAGCTAGGAAATGGGAACGTTTTATAGAGTATCTTAACTAAATTCGCAGTGAAAATGGGTTATTAGGCAAGTTTTACGACATCCCTCAATAAATTCATTAATAATTTTGGTCGAGAACCTCCTTTTAAAAATTTAGAGACCATAGACAGAACGGGAGATTGAAAAAAAAAAAGGATTGACAGCTTGATTTGACGTCAATATAGGCGGGAAATTATTTTCGATGAAAATCATCATCATTCATTTTTTTTCTCATTTAGTGTCTAACCTAGTTAAAACATATAGTATCAACATAACATACATACCTAACATCACGCCTTTTGATCCCTGAAGGGGTAGGCAGAGGTGCACATTATGCCATTGTACAATGTAACACCCAGTTTTCACTCTTTATGATATGAGTCCCATGTAATAGGGGGTGAACCTATTGCCATATACCGGGCACAATTCCA